AACTTTTTGGAAAATCTTTTTTGGTTTTGAAAAATCCAACTTTGAAATTGAGGACGACTTGGCGAGATGGATGCATATTTTTGCACGTGAGAGTAACAGAGCACCATTCTCTATTCTCTTCTTTTCTCTCTCTCTCTCTCTCTCTCTCTCTCTCTCTCTCTCTCTCTCTCTCTCTCTCTCTCTCTCTCTCTCTCTCTCTCTCTCTCTCTCTCTCTCTCTCTCTCTCTCTCTCTCTCTCTCTCTCTCTTTGTCTCTCCACCTCTGCTTCTTATATACCTGCAAAGTGCAATCCTAACGGTTTCTTTTATACCACGCACACGTAAATGTTCGCGAGGCGGTGTTATCGTGTCGAGGCTGGTGTAGGATAATTCGAAAAAAAATAAAAGAGAGAGAGAAAAAAAAGGGTAAAATCTAGAGACAAGGTGTAGAGAATGTATATATATATATATATATACAGTGGACGAAGACGAGGCCCTCGAGCCAAAGATTGCTCTGCACGATAACTATCCTTCTAACTCCTACCTTCTATTTTCTAACTTCTAACTTTTAAAATTTCTCCTCCGCAAGTGGAGAATGTGCGCGCTCTTGAAAAGCTCGATCGTAAACAAGGCTCTCCTCTCTTACGCCCGTGTATATATATATATATATATAGTTGGTTTTAAAATGCAACAAAAATTTTACTCGAAATATGCGAAGAAACACTTTTTTCTTACTCACTACTTTGGTCATTTCCTTATATATAAAAAAAAGACGCGGAAATATGTTCAAATCAAAACTATTATTTTAATTTTTTATTCTTAGCGCAATTATTATCAATTATAACTTTAAATGAATGTTGGTTACCGTCAGTTGTGAATTTTAATGATTGAAACTACCGTCAGAAATTTCAATGACTATAACTATACCGTCATTTAGAATATTTCAGTGTTTTTAATTACCGTCAGTTAGGATTTTTAAAAATTTTAACTACCGTCAATTATTATTTCAAATGATTGTTACTACGGTCACTTAAGATTTTATTGTTAACTACCGTCAATTATTACTTCTAATGATTGTAACTACCGTCAGTTACGATTATCAATAATCTTAACTACCGACAGTTACAAATTACAATTATCAAAACTACCGTCAGTTGCAATTTTCAATTATCAAAACTACCATCAGTTACGATATTTAATAACTCTAATAACCGCCGGTTACAATTTTCAATGATCAAAACTACCGTCAGTTATTAATTTCAATGATTGTAAATACCGTTACTTTTAACTTTTAATTATTGTAACTACCGTAACATTTAACTTGCAGCAATAACTACCGTCATTTATTACTTCTGATGATTGTAACTACCGTCAGTTATAACTTTCAATGATTGTAACTACCGTCAAGTCGAAATTTCATTAATAGAAACTACCGTCAGTTACAATTTTTAATAACTTTAACTACCGTCGGTTACAATTTTCAATGATTGTAATTACCGTCAGTTAGAAATTTCAATAATCACAATTACCGTCAGTTTCGATTTTCAATAATTTTAATTACCGTCAGTTAGAAATTTCAATTATTGTAATTACCGTCAGTTAGAAATTTTAATAATTATAATTACCGTCAGTTTTGAATTTTAATATTATTAACTGTCGTCAGTCACAATTTTTAATAATTTTAACTACCTTCGGTTACAATTTTCATATATTGTAACTACCGTCAATTACGATTTTTAAAAAAATTTAAATACCATCAATTATAACTTAAATTAATTGCTACTACCGTCGTTTATTACTTGTAATGATTATAACTACCGTCTGCTATTCTAATTACCGTCAATTATAACTTTCAATGATTGTAACTACCGTCAGTTAAAAAATTTCAATGACTGTAACTACCGTCAGTTAGAGGTTTCAATGATTTTAACTACCGTCCGTTAGAAATTTTAATAATTTTAACTACCGTCAATTATAACATAATTTGATTCTTACTACCGTCGATTGTTACTTCTAATGACTGTAACTATCGTCAATTATTACTTCTAATGATTTTAATTACCGTCAGTTAAACTTTTAAATGACTCTAACTACAGCAAGTTACAACTTTTAAATCATTATAACTACCGTCACTTATAACTTTAAATGATTTTAATTACTGTCACTTATTTTTTGTAATGATTGTAAGTACCGTCAGGTAGATATTTAAGTAATTGTTGCTATCGTAAACTATAATTATCAATAATTTTAACTACCGTAAAATATAACTTCTAATGATTGTAGCTACCGTCAGTTATTAATTTCCATATTTATAACTACCGTTACTTTTAACTTTCAATTATTGTAACTACCGTCACATTTAACTTCGAATAAAAACTAGTCATATATTACTTCTAATGATTGTAACTACCGTCAGTTTTAACTCCCAATGATTGTAACTACCGTTAAGTAGAAATTTCAATGATAGAAACTACCATCAGTTATTAATTTCAATTATTGTAACTACCGTCACATGTAACTTTTAGTAATTACTACCGTCAGTTATTAATTTTAATTATTGTCACTACCGTCACATGTAACTTTTAGTAATAACTACCGTCATTTATTACTACTAATTATTATAATTTCCAATGATTGTAACTACTGTCATTTATTAATTTTAATCATTGTAACTACCGTTAGTTAGTAATTTCAATGATAGTAACTACCGTCAATTAGAAATTTCAATAATTTTAACTACCGTCACTTTTAACTTTCAATGATTTATTAACAGAAAAGTGGAAAAAATCCTCAAGCGCCGAGAATCGAACCCACGACCCTAAGTTTGAAAAATCGATAACCTAACCACGAACCTACGATATCAATATTCCAAGGTTTTTTTTCAGACTGTTTACCTTAAAAAATAATTTATTTACATTCCCTTCTAAATAACAAAACTAATTATAATATTTTCTAATAAAAAATTTTTCCTATACCTGAAAGTATAATTAAATGAACTAATTAAAAGAAAAAAAAAAAAAAAATGAGAGAATTCAAATAAAAGTGAGTCTTTTCTCTCTTGCACTGTACCATAAAAACCGAGAGTATTTTAATGAAAACTAATAAAGTACGTGTTTCCGTGTGAAAAAGACGTGAAGATGTTTCTCTAATAATAAAATAAAAAAAAAAAAAAAAAAGTGAGAAAGAGAAAGAGAGAGAGAAAAAGAAGAAGAGTGATTAAACGGCGCTAGTTGGCTGCGTCCCTGTATTTGCGAGCGGCGTAAAAGAGGAGCGCGCTGTCGAGTTACGTAAAGTCTCAACGTTATACGGTGCAAAACAGTGTGTACATTCAAAGTAACAAGTACGCACACAATTTCAAATAAGAAGAAAACTGATGCTATCCTCACACACACAGAGAACAATTTTCATCTTCCAACATTGTATAATTATATATACACAGAAGAAAGAGGGGGAGGGGGGTGAAATGGGAAGTAAGAGGGGGGGGGGGAAGAGAGGCTTTTTGATATTGTATTAGTGCGCAAAAGCAAGGATCGTCGCACCGTTAAAAGATCGGCAGTGCCAATTGGCTTTCTCCAATAACTTTCATACTTCTTGAGACTTGGATTATAACCGTCACCTTCTATTCTGCAATTCGAGGCCTCCTATTTTTTTTTTTTTTTTTTCCACTATATCTATTCCATAAGATCTATTGCACTTTCACTATCATCCTATGCGATAAAACACTATAAGAAAATAAGAAACTAACGAAAATTTTTTAAACTTGATTCCCTTCATATATATTATCCTATATATATATATATATAAAAATAATCAGAGGGACAAAAAACAAAAGTTGGCCCAATTTTTTTGTATTTTTAATGAATTTTTTTTTTTTTCATTAAAAGTTTGTGAATTTTTATAATTTTAAATATTCATGGAAAAAAAAAAATTTATCTAAAACAGCGATATGTTTCTCTAGAATAGTGGAAAATTTTCTCTGCTTCAGTGAAACATATCGGTGTTTCAGTAAAAATTATTGTTGTTTCAAGTGAAGATTTTTTTTCCTAACTTTTGTTAACGGAAAACAAAATATTCACCTGGAATAGCGATAAGTTTCACTGGAACAGCGATATGTTTCACTGAAACAGAGAAAATTTTCGCTATTCTAGATAAACATATAGCTGTTTCAAATAAAGATTTTTTTAACATATCGACTAATTTTTGAGTTAGAGAATGCTAATGAAAATTTATTTCTTTTAAACTTACGTGTAAAGAAGAAATGGTTTTGTAAAATTTTGTGTAGACTCACCTGTAACAGAAAAAAAAAACATATTTCATTAGTGACAATAGTAAAGGTAGAATTTTTTAAAATATAAATTTAGAAATTACTACTGAATCAGTTCAAGAAAATTAAAATTTATATTTTATGAAATTTTACTTTTTTTAAATTATCTCAAAGTATAAAAATGGAAAAAAAATCTTCTCTAACAAGAGGACAAAAATTACTGTAGGTTATGTTTATGATAGTTTGGACAAAAATTCACAAAAAGGACCAATTCTCAATACACATCCAGAAAAAAGATTTCTTTGATCAAAAAAAAAAAAAAAATTTCTTTGTTCCAAAAAAAAAGATTTCTTTGATCCAAAAAAAAGATTTCTTTGATCCAAAAAAAGATTTCTTTGTTTCAAAAAAAAAGATTTCTTTGATTCCAAGAAATCTATTTCATTGACAAATTTGACTTTAATACAAAGAAAATTTATTCGTTTCAAACAAATTATCCTTGATTCAAAAAAAAAAAGAAAATTATTTTCATTTCAAAGAAATTTTTTATTTAATTCAAATAAATGTTTCTTTGACCCTATAATATATCAATGTTAGAATTTCTATGATTTCATACATAAATTTCTTTAATTCAAAGAAAATTTCTTCGAATCAAAAAAATTTTTTTTTAAAAAACATAACCTACAATTTTTTTTTTCATATTAAAAAGAATTATTTTTTTTCATTAATCAAACTAGTGTGAAACTCTTCTTTTTTCACAGGAATGGTACAGGGCTCTTTGAGAGCAAGAGATAGAATTCTCAGCGGAAGAAATATCTTGACAAAAATGCAAAAAACTCATGGACCTCTGGGAGAATTGTACGTTTATATGGAAAATAAAGTTAGAGTTAAGGTAAGAAATTACTTATTAAAAAAAAAATTTCTTACTCTCTATATAATTAGTAAGAATTCATTTACGAATTCAAAAATTAGTAGAAATTTTCACTATAATTTCTAGTAAAATATTATTCAATTGATTTAGTAATTTTTTTTTACTGTAAAAATGTATTTAGTAATTTATTTTATTTCGTAAAAAATGCATCGAAAAAAAGATTTACCTCAAATAACGAAAGGTTTCACTAGAATAGCGAAAGATTTAACTGCGAAACAAATAAAAAATTTCGCTACTACAGTGAAACGTTATTTCGTTATTTTAGGTAAATCTTTTTATTTTCCGTAGTAGAAGAATTTTAGTAGAATTTTCCTAGTAGAAATTTTTACTAATTAAAATTAGTAAATAAACACTAATTCAAAAAAAAAATTAATTACTCTCTAAATGTGAATTAGTAAAAATGTTTACTAATTTGAATTAGTGACTCACTTTTTGCTTCTGAATTAGTAAAATTTTACTAATTATTAGTAATTTTTACTAACAATTAGTAAAATTTAACTAATTATTAGTAACTTTTACTAACAATTAGTAAAATTTAACTAATTCTAAAGCAAAAAGTGAGTCACTAATTTAAATTAGTAAAGATTTTTACTAATTCAGATTTAGAGAGTAAAAAAAAGACAATGAATTAGTAAAATTTAACTAATTATTAGTAACTTTTACTAACAATTAGTAAAATTTAACTAATTCTAAAGCAAAAAGTGAGTCACTAATTTTTAAATTAGTAAAGATTTTTACTAATTCAGACTTAGAGAGTAAAAAAAAGACAATGACCTTTTTTTTGGCAAAAAAAAATAAAAAATTTGTCGAAAAATTAATTGCGCATAACTGTATAGTGTTAAACGCGATTGTGTGTGTGTGTTAGTGACACCTACGCATGTCGTTTTCTTCATACCTCTCCTCTCTCGCCCCACTTATATGACCCATCACACTTCCACCCACCAACCCCACGTGAACGCACACGCACGTGACATACTTTTCGTCGACTCGTGTCTCAGCCCTTCGACGCGCCTCTAAGGTGTATATAGGGTCAACACTCGTAGTCATGGAAACAGGCTCTTCACACATTCAGAAATATATATATATATTTGCCGCGTTCCAACGACGCTACTTTTTTCCAAAATTGATGATATCCCACGACAAGGTCGAGGACCCTTCCTTTCAACTTCACTCAAACTTATACTCCTGCCGTGCCCTTTGTCAACTCTGCCCTTCGCATGTCCTCTTTCGCCGGTCATTGTATTCTCAATTCCCCTCCCAACCTCTTTTTTATTTTATACGCTCGCGAAAAAAAAGTTTTTTTAATTCAAAACAAGCAAAATTCTTTTTTTTTTTTTACTTTTCTATCTGAATTTGAAATAGGCAGATTTTACTTATTTAACGTTTTTGACTAATTTTTAGCAAAAAAAAAAAAAAACCAATTTTTATTAGGAAACTAATACTTGATGGTAAAAAAAAACTACTAATTGATAGTAGAAAACTATTAATTGTAAGCGAAAAAAACTAATTGTTAGTAGAAAGCTACTAATAGTAAAAAACTACTAATTGATAGTAGAAAACAACTAATTGTAAGCGGAAAGAACTAATTGTTAGTAGAAAGGTACTAATAGTAAAAAACTACTAATTGTTAGCAGAAAAAACTAACTGATAGTAGAAAACTACTAATTAATGGTAGAAAACTAATTATTATTAATAGTAGAAAACTACAAGTTCAGAATTAAAAAACTACTAATTATTAATAGAAAACTACTAATTATTAACAGAAAACTACTAATTCAATTAGTATAGTAATTAATATACTAATAGTTAGTAGAAAGATCGATAGAGAGATACTAATTAATAGTAGAAAGTTACTAATTAACAGTTGAAATCTACTAATTAATAGTACAAAACTACTGATTGTTAGTAGAAAATAACTAATTGGTATCAAGAAATTACTAGTTGTTAGTAGAAAACAAATACTTAATAGTAGAAAACTACTAAGTAATACTAAAGATTACAAATTCACAAGTTAAAAACTACCAATTGTCAATAGAAAACAAATAATTGTTAGTAGAGAGATACTAAGCACTAGTAGAAAACTTCGAATTGTTAGCAGAAAAAACTAATTGATAGTAGAAAACTACTAATTAATGATAGCAAAATAATTATTAATAGTAGAATACAATTAAATGTTAGTGGAAAACTATTAATTGTTACTTGAGAACTACAACTTGATAGTAGAAAAGTACTAATTATTAGTAGAAAGTCACTGATTGTTAGTAGAAAGCTACTACTTAAAATTAGGAAACTACTTATTGTTAGTAGAAGACAAGTACTTAAAAGTAAAAAAAAAACTAATTTATAGTAGAAAATTACAAATTCACAAGTAGATAACTATTAATTGTTAGTAGAAAATAACTAATTAATAGTAAAATACTGCTAATCAATAGTAGAAAAATACAAATTCACAAATTGAAAACTTCTAATTGGTAGTAGAAAACAAGTAATTAATAGTAGAAAACTACTAATTGTTAATAGAAAACTAGTAATTAATAGTAGAAAACTACTAATTTTTTAGTAGAATACTACTAATAGCCAGTAGAAAATTTCTCTTTATAGTAGAAAACAACTATTTGATAGTACGAATCTAGTTACTAATTAAACCTAGTACTAATTAATAGTAGAAAACTACAAATTCAGAAGTAGAAAACTACTAATACAATTAGTATAGTAATTAGTATACTAATTTTTAGTACAAAGCTACTAATTAATAGTACAAAACTACTAATTAATAGTAGAAAGCTACTAATTATTAGTTCGAAAACTACTAATTATTAGTAGAAAACAACTAATTGTTGATAAAAAAAACTACTAATTCAATTAGAAAACTTTAATAAATTAATTAGTAGTTTTTTTCTATCAACAAGTAGTTTCCTCCATCAACAAGTAGTTTTCTACTATCGATTAGTTATTTTCGACTAAAAATGAGTAAAAAAAAAATCACTAATTTACGCAATTTACGCACAATTTAATTATAGTAAAGAATGACTAATTGTTATGAAGCAAAGCTTTTTTCTACTATGCGAAATAAAAGGACATACCGCCAGCGAAAAAAGAGCGGAATTTTTATTTTTTCATCCTTATCTGAGAAAGAATTGGAACAATTACCTCGTCCTCCATAAATATAAAAAAAAAGAAAATATGTGACGTTCCATGAGGAAAGGGACCTTAGCTGCAATAGACGCATTTTCCAGAAAAGGTATTTAAAGTAGAGCGTCCCTGATTGGTTGAGACCCTCCATCGAAAATCAGCCCCACCACCTTACTACTACATCGTTCCTACAGCTCACGCTTACGACAAGTATACTAGTGTAGAAGTGGTGGGGATGGTTTCTGTAGTCCGTGCTGGAACGCGATTAACATGGTCATGATTAATGCTTTATAACAAAAAAACTAAATAGAAAAGTACAATTTTTAACTTTTGTATCTGAAAGAGCAACTCAAGATCTATCGACTGATATCAAAAACTCAATTTTCATTTTTTTGCAGCTAAGGTCCCTTTCCTCATGGAACGTCACATATGTCGTTTGATGACTTTCTCAAATCCTCGCTTCTTTTCTCTTGCATGTCGCTCTTCCGCGAGTATATATATATATATATATATATATATATATATATATATATATATATATATATATATATATATATATAATATACGAGAAACAAATTTATAATTTTATAAGACGAGAAAAAAAAATTCAAATGTATGATAACGGTTTTTTCAAGCAACTATAAACGAATTTAATGTTATTTAAAAATTATTTTATAAAATATTATAAAATAATTTGCAAAAAAAAAATATATTTTTGAATATTAAATTTCAAAAAGAAATTTTTTTTTCGATTCTAACAAATTTATTAACATAAGAATATTTTTAAAAAATCCAATTTAGATTAATATAAGATAAATATATGTCGACAATAAGTATTTTCTGTTAGTTAATTAGTAAATATTGCACTTTATTTCTTGTTAGAAGTAATATTAAAATTCGATAGAAAAAGTCATTTCCGGAACTTTGCATCTTAATTGCGAGTATACTATCTCATATATATATATATATACAATACAAAAATGATTCATTAGCCTTCTAATGATTCGAGGTCATTCTCGTCCTGAATTCTAAAACAGTCCTCGAGTCTCGCGAGAGGACATAAGTAGCAAAAACCGATATTTCTTTCTTTTTATCTCTAAAAAAAAAAACTTTTTTTTGGAATAATAAAAAAATGTTTCTTGATCTAATTATTTTAATACTCACTAAATTTAAATCTAAATTTAAAATTTAAAGTTAAATTAATCAATCAATCAGTTAAAAATAATCACTATTTAAATATATTAATGTTTCAACTAATCAATTATGCAGTTAAAAATAACGAATTATCAATTAATTTTATTTATATGTCAATATTCAATTAGTCGACTATTTTTTTTTTTTTTTTTTTTTTTATTTACTAATTATCTTAATTTACTACTTAATAATTGTTATTTTCTTTACTAATTTCTAATGCAAAATAAAAGTCACGATTTTACAAAATAATTTAATAAAATACAAGAAAAAAAATTCTTATCTGTAACAGCGATATGTTTCACTAAAATAGCGAAAATTTTCACTGTTTTAATAAAATATAACGCTGTTCCAGATGGAGATTTTTTAACCTGTAATAAATTAAATTTATTAAATAATTTTAGTTTTTTTTTTAAAAACTAATTTCTACTACAAAATATCAGCTACTATAAATAATTTCTACCAAAAAATGGAGAGTTCACAAATGACTCGGTACTGGTACCAATATTGCGCTAGTACTGCGCCGGTGATCCATTTATCGTAGGGAACAATAATAATAATAATAATAATAATAATAACCCTACCAAAAATTTTAAAAGTTCAATATTGGCTCGGTACTGGTACCAATATTGCGCCAGTACTGCGCCAGTAGTTAAATTTTGTAGGGAATAATAATAATAATAATAATAATAATAATAATAATAATAATAATAATAATAACCCTACAAAAAATTTCAAGAGTTCAATATTGGCTCGGTACTGGTACCAATATTGCGCCAGTACTGCGGCAGTACTGCGCCAGTAGTTAAATTTTAGTAGGGAATAATAATAATAATAATAACCCTACAAAAAATTTCAAGAGTTCAATAATGGCTCGGTACTGGTACCAATATTGCGCCAGTACTGCGCCAGTAGTTAAATTTTAGTAGGGAATAATAATAATAATAATAATAAGAATAATAATAATAATAATAATAATGATAATAACCCTACAAAAAATTTCAAGAGTTCAATATTGGCTCGGTACTGGTACCAATATTGCGCCAGTACTGCGCCAGTACTGCGCCAGTAGTTAAATTTTAGTAGGGAATAATAATAATAATAATAACCCTACAAAAAATTTCAAGAGTTCAATAATGGCTCGGTACTGGTACCAATATTGCGCCAGTACTGCGCCAGTAGTTAAATTTTAGTAGGGAATAATAATAATAATAATAACAATCCTACTAAAAATTTTAAGATTAAATTTCAGTTTAATCTTTTAATTTAAAAATTTTAAGAGTTCAATTTTGGCTCGCTACTGGTACCAGTATCGCGCCAGTACTGCGCCAATAGTCAATTTTTGATATGAATTTTTTTCACTAATTTCTAATGCAAAAACTCAGCCACGATTTTACTAAAAAAAAAAAAAAACAAATTAGTTATTTTTAACTATAATTCAGTTTTAGAGATTTAAAAAAAAGTATTTTTTCCTTAAAATTTACATTTCACTAAAAATAAATAAATAAATGAAGAAAAAAATCAAAGTTTTTTTGTTAGAAAAATTACAATAATGATAATATTATTGACTTTCGAACAAATTGTGTTCAATGATAAAATCGATAATTACAGTAAAAAGGCCTAATGAAAGAAAGAATTTTAACGATTGTGTTGTATATGTATATATATATATATATTATTATAATAAAGTGCAACTCTATAAATATATATGTTAGTAAATGTGTATGTATATATATATATATGTGTGTATGTGTACGTATATATCAGTGGGAAGGCATTGAAGGGGGCCTTGCCTCGCGACTTGCACTTCCGCATATAACTCTGCTATCTTGTCTCGCGCATACGTAACAACACCAACAATAACAAACGCCTATTCACGGAGACCCGCGAGAGCGACCGAGTAATTAATGTAATTATTGTCATTCTCTGGAAAACGCGAAAGCTCGCACCAATTGAATTTATATATTATATTGTATATAACTATTATATATATTTACTTTCCCCCGTTATAACAATTATATTTTCAAATTCCATGAAATATTACCCTTCAATTGGGATAATTTTCTCAAGAAAAAATCTTATATCTCGTTCAATTAATTTAATATAATTAATTAAGGTGCATGATTATCCCATAAAAATCATTGGAATTTTCATTTAAAACAATTTTATTAGATATAATTATTTTTTTTGCCGAATTTTTATTTTTCTAATTAACGTAATTGTTAGAATTTATTTTTTTTTTAAGTTTTTAATAAACAGAATTTTTAGGTAATTTTTATTTGGTACACGGAGAGAAATGGAAAAAGGAATAAAGTAACTTTTACTATACTTTAAAAGTAAAACCTAAACTGTATGCAGTTTCTGCGCATTTATGGCAATTTTTACTCCAGAAATAGTAAAATTTACTCATGAAATAGTAAATTTTACTATTTTCGGAGTTTCTACGTATTTCTGATAATTTTTACTTCTGAAACAGTAAAAATTATTGCGGAAATAATAAATTTTACTAATTTTTGGAGTTTCTGCTCATTTCTGTCAATTTTCACTCCGAAAATAGTAAAATTTACTTCTGAAAATGTAAAAATTATTTCTGAAATAGTAAATTTTACTTTTTTCGAAGTTTCTGCGCATTTCTGATAATTTTCACTCCTGAAATAGTACAAATTATTTCGGAAATAGTAAATTTTACTGTTTTCAGTATTTCTGCGCATTTCTGATAATTTTTACTCCAAAAATAGTAAAATTTACTACTTCCGAAATAATTTTTTCAATATAAGAGCAAAATTTACTACTTTCGGTGTAAAAATTATCAGAAAATCGCAGCAACTCCGAAAATAGTAAAATTTACTCTTGAACTAGTAAAAATATTTTAGAAATAGTAAATTTTACTATTTACCAATTTTTTAGGCATTTCGGATAATTTTTACTCCTGAAATAGTAAAAATTATTCCGATAATAGTAAATTTTACTATTTTTGGAGTTTCAGCGCATTTCTGTCAATTTTACTCCAGTAATAGTAAAATTCTGAAAATAGTAAAATTCACTCTTAAAAAAGTAAAATTTACTCCTAAAATAGTAAAAATTATTCCGGAAATAGTAAATTTTACTATTTTCAGTGTTTCTGCGCATTTTTGATACTTTTTACTCCGTAAATAGTAAAATTAACTATTTTCGTAATAATTTTTAGTAATTCAGTAGTAAATTTTACTATTTTTGGAGTTTCTGCGCATTTCTGTCAATTTTACTCCAGTAATAGTAAAATTCTGAAAATAGTAAAATTCACTCTTAAAAAAGTAAAATTTACTCCTAAAATAGTAAAAATTATTCCGGAAATAGTAAATTTTACTATTTTCAGTGTTTCTGCGCATTTTTGATACTTTTTACTCCGTAAATAGTAAAATTGTCTATTTTCGTAATAATTTTTAGTAATTCAGTAGTAAATTTTACTATTTTCGGTCTTTCTGCGCATTTCCGATAATTTTTACTCCAAAAATAGTAAAATTTATTCCGAAAATAGTAAAAATTATTTCGGAAATAATAAATTTTACTAATTTCGGAGATTCTGCGCATTTCTGACTATTTTCACTCCGAAAATAGTAAAATTTACTCTTATATTGAAAAAATTATTTCGGAAGTAGTAAATTTTACTATTTTTGGAGTAAAAATTATCAGAAATGCGCAGAAATTCCGAAAACAGTAAAATTTACTATTTGCGGAATAATTTTTACATTTTCAAAAGTACTATTTTCGGAGTAAAAATTGCCAGAAATGCGCAGAAACTTCTAAAATAGTAAAATTTACTATTTCTGGAATAATTTTTAGTACTTTAGTAGTAAATTTAACTATTTTCGAAGTTTCTTTGCATTTCTGGTAATTTTCACTTCGAAAATAGTAAATTTTACTATATTTCTGAAGTAAAAATGTGCGAGAAATGCTTAGAATTTTCGGACAGTTCAAATTTTACATTTAAGGTATATAGTAAAAATTATTTTATTTGTTTTTCCATTTTTCTACGTGATAGAATTCTTCAATCGATGAATTTTCATTTGTCCGAAATTACAAATATCCAAACAAACAATCGCCACAAAAATTTGTGCGCAAATTTTTTTTAAAATTGTCCAATGATAGAAATTGTCAAAGAAAAAATTTGTGATTGATCAATTTTTATACATTGCGCCGAAATTTTTCTGTCGATTTTTTTTTGTTCTGCCATTTTTGGTAATTTTGGACAAATGAAAATTCGGCGTCTCAAAAATTTAATCAATTAAATATTCGTATAAATTAAAATTTGGACAAATTAAAATTCGTTTAAAAAGTAATTATTTCTAATAAATTAATAAATTAATAATAAATTAATAATAATTAATTAATAAATTAATAATTAATAAATTCTAAAATTCTTTAATAATTTTAATTAATGATTTTTCTGGGATATAATAATACGCCCCTAATTTTGTATCATTAATGCATTTTTGTTTAATTATTTTTTTTCTCATTCCACAAAGGTTTATACAAGGAACGCACAAGGCATACGAGGATTTATCGAAGCTTATGTGGTGGCATTTGACAAGCATTGGAATCTCGCATTAGAAGATTGCTTTGAAGTATGGTCGAGGAAAAAAAAGAGAAAAGCGCCCGCGTTGGGTAAAGTATTATTATTTTTTTTTCGCTAAAAATTAATTTTTATTAAAAATTAAAAAAAAAATTTTATAATTTTTACAAATATTTTTTTTTTTCTAAACGAACTGGAAAAAAAATTGTAAAATAAATTTCTATAGTAAAATCTTTTTATATACACATTTTTTTTTTTAATTTGGTCTTTATGAGTTTGACCTTCATTTTTTTTTTTACTCAACCATTATTGCAGAGACCTTAAACAATTTTTTTTTTCAATTTCCAAATGAATTTATTTTTAAAATGAAATTTATAAGAAATGATTGATAAAACAAAACTTAATTGATAATATTATAGAGACTTGAGTAATTATTTAATTTTTTTTTTTTTATATTTTTAACGCTTTCTTTTCCCCGTTCATGGAAAAATAACCTCGTCTACATAACAAGAATATTCATTCTGTGATTCTAACGGTTTTGTCATAAACACACACACACACATAAGTAGAAAAAAAATATATATATATATATATATATATATATATATATATCTGAATTGTATTAATTCATCAATACGAGGTGTTGGAATGCTAATCGCGTTTGCCTAGAAAACGTGAAAAATAATTATTAATCATAAAACATTGTATATAACCTTCGACATTTCGATATATTACTTTATACTATACTATTGTCAGTGTCAAATCAATTAGAGACTAAAATTATTTAGTTGTGAATCTAATTACAAAGTATTAGTCGCGGAAATTTATTTTTGGAACTGCAATATATTCATGACAAAAACAAGTATTTGATTAGATCATACAAAAATCATTGATTAAATTATTCATTTTATTTTAATGAAAAATAAAAAAATTTTTAAATTAATTTTAATTAAAATTTTTAATAAAAAAAGGAAAAATAAAATTCAGATTAATTGTACCTACTTACAAAAAAATATATAAAAAAAGTAATCATTGATTCAAGAATATTATTTACTCGTTCGTATTTAATCCAACTAATTTTCTTATTATTATTACATCCAAAGAAATGTTTTATTTGAACCAAATATATAATATATTTGCGTTAAATAAACGTATATTTGACGCAGAGCCCATTTATTTGGCTCAAATAAAAATAAATTTCTTACAAATAAAAATTTATTTAAATCAAATAAATATTTACTTAATTCAAAGAAAAATTTATTTAAATCAATAAATAAAAATTTTATTAGACTGTGCAACAAATATATCATTTCTCTGGATGTATTTTCTTATTATTTTATAATTCAAGAAAATTTATTTCAAATTTAAAATTTTCTTGGATCAAGAAAACATTAAATCAAATACAAACAAGTAAATGAGTTATATTATTTTTTTCCACACATTAATTTTTTATAAATAGTTTATTATTCTTATCACATGAGATTATAATTAAACTACTTTATTTAAAGGTCGATATCAAAATTTAAAGTTCCATTTTATTTATTTTTTTTTTTTGTTTTAAAGTAGGTGTAAAATTAAAATCATGATGAAATATTTGTGACAATCATGCTGCTTTTGCCGCGCAATCGATGTCAATTTCAATGTCAGTTTAACGAGAAAGAGAGAGAGAGAGAGAGAGAGACTTTAGTGTAGATATATAATTTGTATTAATCGTTTGACCTCGAAACACCTGACGCACTCGCTCGTGGCGCAGAGATTACCGTTTTACAATATACACGTTGTACAATAATCACTCGATTCGTTTCCTTGACTTCAAAGAACTTTTGTCACTGATAAGATTTTTCCTAAATCAATAACCTTCACATCACTATCGAACAAACACTTTTTTTTTCTCTATCTCTAAATCCAATATAACAGTTTCGAAAGTTAATTTTAATAATAACAATTTTAATAATAATAATGATAATAAACTTCCAAAAATTTTAAGAGTTCACTACTGGCACGGTACTGGTACCAATATTACGCCAGCACTGCGCCAGTAGTTCAGATTTAATAGGGAATAATTATTATATAAATTTTAATAATAACAATAATAAACCTACCAAAATTTTTAAGAGTTCAATATTGGCTCGGTACTGGTACCAATATTGCGCCAGTACTTCGACAGCAGTTAACTTTCGGTAGGGAATAATAATAATAATAATAACAACAACCCTACCACAAATTTTAAGAGTTTACTACTGGCTCGGTACTGGTACCAGTATTGCGCCAGTAGTAACTTTTTTTGTAGGAAATAATAATAATAATAATAATAATAATTATTATTATTATTATTATTATTATTATAATGACCCTATACAAAAATTTTTAAGAATTCATTACTGGCTCGGTACTGGTACCAGTATTGCGCCAGTACTTCGACATTAGTTAACTTTTGATAGGGAATAATGATACTAATAATAATAATAATAATAATAATAATAATAAAAAACAACAACCCTACCAAAAATTTTAAGAGCTTACTACTAGCTCGGTATTGGTACCAGTATTGCGCCAGCATCGCGCCAGTAGTAATTTTTTTTGTAGGAAATAATAATAATAATAATAATTATTATTATTATAATGACCCTATACAAAAAATTTTAAGAGTTCATTACTGGCTCGGTACTGGTACCAATATTGCGCCAGTACTTCGACAGTAGTTAACTTTTGATAGGGAATAATGATAATAATAATAATAATAATAATAATAAAAATAACAAAAACCCTACCAAAAATTTAAAGAGCTTACTACTGGCTCGGTATTGGTACCAGTATTGCGCCAGTATCACGCCAGTAGTAATTTTTTTGTAAGGAATAATAATAATAGTAATAATAATAATAATTATTATTATTATTATAATGACCCTATACAGAAAATTTTAAGAGTTCATTACTGACTCGGTACTGGTGCCAGTATTGCGCCAGTACTTCGCCAGTAGTCAATTTTAATTATTTTTTGCAAAACTAGATTGTTTAAAAATGAGAAAAGTTAACAAAAAAAAAAAAATTGAAATACAAAAAGTTAAAAAATACATAAAACGAGTGTCTTATTTTTAAGACATATAAGACATTTAGAAAAAGTCTTAAAAATTGTCTCGATTTGTTTCATATTGATTATATATAGGAAAAATATCTAAGACGTTATCCGTCATTGGCCGAAATTTAAGACACTCCAAAATGTCTTAAAGATCAGGAAAAAAGTGTCTTAACACATCCTTTTTTTGCAGTGTCTGAATGGCAGGGGATATATCACAAAAAAAAAAAAAAAAAATGTCTTATTTTAAGACACTTTTGCCATAATTTTTAAGACATTTTACAGTGTCTTAAATTTTTTGCCATTGACGAAACTTCTTAGATATTTTCCTAACCAATATGAAACAAATCGAGACAATTTTTAAGACATTTCCCAAGTGTTTGATATATGTCTTAAAAAATAAGACACTTGTTTTGTCAAAAAATAAAATTTCTAATTATCTTTTATTTACATTTTTTTTTTTTTTTTTTTTCTTTTTTTTTGTTAAAGGAGAAAAATAAATGTAGTTATTGAATGGAGAAAAGAGATAACGATAACACATAACAATTAGCCTCTCGTGTCTGACAAGTTTTATCATTGATTCTGATGACACATATTTTATGCAGGTTTTGTGCTGATTGCGTGAAGGTTTTTCGAGTGCGAGAAAAAAAAAGAAGGGGTATATATATAACGAAAGTGATGAGGAGGAAAAAAAACGAGTAATATATATATATATATATATATATATATATATATGGAAGGTGCGAAACAGATGATTGGATCGATATTATTTATGTGTATATATATATAATACATATACAGTATTATATAGTTTTGCGCGTCGCCCGATACGAAATAAATTTCCCGTTCTACCTACGATTGTCTGACCATGAATGACTCCTACTCCTAGTACGCGTCAATGAAACACATGCTCTCGTCCGCGAGAGTCATGATCGAACGTTTGTTTCGAAGTCTCCGCGTTTATATCGTATACACACGCATCCTCGAGGAAACTATATAGTGACGTAAAAAAAAAAGAAGAAGAAGAAGAAGGAAAAAAAAACCAATAAATCTGTCAGATTCGCGATTTGGCCTCGAAATAGCAAGGTCGAATTTTTATCACTCAGAAAAATGATTTCTTTGATTTAAAGAAATTAATTTTTCGATTCAAATAAATCATTTTTTTGAATCAAAGAAATCATTTTTTTAATTTAAAGAAATCAATTTTTTTGCTTCAAAAAAAAACTCAATTTCTTTGATTCAACAAAATCAATTTCTTTAATTCAATAAAATCAATTTCTTTGATTCACTAAAATCAATTTCTTTAATTCAAGGAAATCAATTTTTTTAATTCAAAAAATTCAATTTCTTCGATTCAACACTCAGAGAAATGGTATATTTGTCTCCGAGCCTACTAACTCATTTATTTGTTGCAAATATATTTTATTTCATTGAAATAAAAAATTTATTTGCGGCAAAGAAAAATTTATTTCTGACAAATAAAACTTTTATTTACGCCAAATAAATAAGTTAGTAGGCTCTGAGACAAATATACGTTTATTTAACTCAAATAAATTTTATTTGATTCAAATAAATCATTTCTCTGTGTGAATAAAATCAATTTCTTTAATTCAAAGAAATCAATTTCATCGACAAATTTTTCTTTGATACAAAGAAAATTAATTTGTTTCAAAAAAAAAAAATAAATAATCGCTTATTTGATTCAAGAAAAAAATTTCCTTCGTGTCAAAACATTTTTTTATTTAATTCAAATAAATATTTCTTTGATCCTATATCAATGTTAGAATTTTTTTTTGAAACTAAGAAGCATTTTTTTGTTTCAAACAAAATTTTATTTTGAATTAAAGAAAACAAGTCAATGAAATTGGTTTCTTTAACACAAAGTAATCTTTTCTCTGGGTATATAATATATGTATATTTCTTTAAGAAGCAGGAAACATTTCTTTGAATCAAAGCAATTGATTTTTTTGAATCAAAGAAATTGATTTCTCTGAATCAAAGAAATTGATTTCTTTG